GGGGATTGAGCGTTTAGGGGAATGCCCTGAGTGCTGTGATGTCTGTTCTTGAATCAGTTCAACTCAACTCAACTAGCAGCCTTGGGGAATCAACACACGCTGGGGAATCCACATTTACTACTCTTAACTCTGCATCTAAAAGTGCTCATCATAGACGAAAGGTCGCAGGTCAAAAGGAGAAGAGGTATATGTAGATACAACGTCATCAATATGGCTTCCAAGGTCTTGGTCTTGACTTTGTGAATAATCCTTCTCAAAATGTAACATATGCAGAGACTGCTCTGATAAGGCTCGGGTCATTTTTGATTTCCTGGCATCTTCTTGTGAAGAAGAAAATTGATAATACTGAGACAATTGTTCTTCTTCTAAACTTCGTCTCAGACCTGTTACATCTCTCGTACGTGTTGACCTTCTTTTAAAACATGGCTGGGAATGGATATCACACTCATTTTGATTGAATTCAACATTCACTGTATTACCAGACAACTGTTTCATATTTCTTTTTGATATGTTATGCCTAGTTGGACTGCTGTTTTGATTAAATATTGGAGTGACAAATTTATCAGTTTCTCTTTTATGCTTGCTTTCACTGCCAGATTGTGAATAGTCTGGCTGTCTCACATAGTTATGTTGCCCATTTTGCATAAATGTATCATTCCCACACTGCTGCTCCCAAAATCTAGAAGTCATCGCTAAAGCTGGAGCATGACCATCCTCTGCGTACATATTTGCTCTATCATTTGTGCTCTTATCTAACTTCACACTTTTCATTTCACAATTCTGCTGATTTAGACTGGGGATCAGTTCCTCTAAACTTTTATACCTCCACAAATTAGTCTTTTCTGTGTTCTGATCAATTCTAGAGGTATTTGAGCAAAGTTCTGTTGATTTAGTAACCAGATCTCCTTTATTTCTTTCAGATGACCTAGATCTTGAATTTGTCTTAAAATTTGAAGAATTTGGCTGCGAGAAACAAGATTTGAACTTTGACCTGGAAGACTGTTTGGGTTCAAGGTTCCTCTCATGTATGACATCATTCTTTGGAAGATCATAGATTAATGGTCCTCCGATGTTCTTCCACTGTATGACACTATCATCTTCTTCACTTCTAGTTCTCATGGCATCTGTCATGCTCATTTTTCTATGCACAGAAGATGGAGGTGGAGTCATGCATCTTCGGCTGTAACCAGCAGAAACATTCTGCACACAAGTTTGACAGGCAGGCATCTGTGAGTCAATGTCAAAGTTATATATAGTCTGTTGCCTCTGCTGTTTATTCTCTCTAAATATTTGTCCCTCTGCATGCAGATGATCACCTGTGCAAATAAAAGCTATGTTATCATTTTTCGAGAATTTCAATGAATTGAATTGAGTTCTTGCAGCAATAGGGTCAATGTCTGATTGGAGAGTTAAAAAACTGGTACTGGCATCATCAAAAGAGAAGCTATTTTCTGAATCGCCATCCACGGGGACCTGGGCAAGGTTGCAACTGTTCTGTTGCTGTTTGGTAATGTTGTTGACATCTTTGCTGCCGTTGGTCAAGAAATGAGAGTTGTTTCTCTGCTGACTCATCCACAGTTCTGCATCTAATCCAGGTTTAATAAAACCACCAGTATCAAGGTGCTGGGTAGCAGACATTTTCTTCGAAGACTTCCATGGCATTTCTCCAGTCTGTGTCCAGGTTTCTAATCTAACTTTGGCTTCAGCCAATTTTCTTTCATTACGAGCTGAAGGCAGACCTGAAAACTCATCGTTATTTTCATCAGCTGCTGCTAAATTTGCTGGGGAAGTTCTGGCATTGGCAGCCTCATTCTGATGAAATGTTTGTATGTTTGGGGCTGCCATTTTTTGGGTCCTGGCAACTGGTTTCACATCAGTCCTGGAATTTGTTTGACTCACAGGTGAAGAACGGTCTGAGCTCGATGCAGAATGTTGATACCAGTCAGAATCAAACATATCTACTTTATCTAGCTGAGGGTGCCACTTCTCTTCCTCCAGTGACTCCTTGTGCTTGTTCTGACCATGGAGAAAGTGATGTTGTTCACGAGGCTGATCGCTCACAGCCTGGATCTGGGTGGAAATATCTCCGCAGGTTTGACAGTCTGTCTGTCTGTCTGTGTTAACAAGACCCTTAGAAGGTTGCTGCCTGAGGCTGTCAAATGTATCAGAGCCTGGTCTACTTGAGCCTGGGTCTAAGACTGAGCTTCTAGCAGCCATTGACTTCACGCGCTCGGACAACAGATCAAGAGAATGTTCTAGAGCTGTAATCATATTTTCTGGAACCTGCCTGAAAGAAACAGTATATAACTATATAAACATCTTAACAAGGAACAAATATGGCTCTGTAAATATTAAATCAGTTAAAATCATGATGAACTTGAACAAACCAGCAAAAGATAGAATACTAAGAGCTTATATGTTTTCTGAGGCAACAAATGACTGTAAAATCTATGTTTAGCAAATCAGGTGAAAAGCAGAAATGTGCCACTGAGTAGAAATGTTATGGAAAAATACTGATGACTCATTGGGTGGAAAAAAGGGAGAAAACAAAAAGATCCAGCAAGAACAGAGTAGTGAAGAAGGTTTATCTGTGGCACACAAACATCATCATCATCATGTGCCCTGCCAGTTGGTGTAGGCGCTCATGCATCTCCACAGATCCCAATTCCTGGTTGCCTGGAACATCTCTCTTGATGATTGTTGCGTGCTGAATTCACTGGGCTGGTCAGAGGCGTAATAGCCTACACCAGTCATAAGGCACAAGATGATGATGGTAACAGAGACGTGTGCAAAAAGGGGTCCATGTGGCTTAAGATGAGAGATGAGTGCAAGACGTGGAAGACGTGTTTCTGGAGAATCACGACTAATAGTGGTTTGCACACGCTTAGCGAGAACCATGCGGGGTCCGAAGCCTTGAGCTAAGGGTTGGTTGTGGTTGTTAATTTAAGTTCCTCTCAGCCAGTCCGATCGGGTGGATGCACGTTCAGATGTCTGTGAATTTTTAGCAGTAATTATGTGTATCATTCTAGTTCAGTAAATGTTGATCTTGTGCATTATAATTTTGTTTATGAGTCGAAATGCTCCCGTTGTGCGTATTCTGTGGAGAAAAGGTGTGGAGGGCCCAACATGTTATTTGTCACTAGGATCGACAGAAGTCGGGCGGTGAATTGTGGCAAAATTGCGAGGATGGAATTGTCCAGTGCCTCGTGAGGATTCTGATTCGAGTGTGTGTCAAGAGACTTGGTGTGCCTGGGGCAGAGTCTCTAATCAGTTATCATGTATAGATTATTGGTGACCCAAAGTGTCATGTAGAGGTTATTGGTGACCCAAAGTGTTGGCACATAACTGAAGTGTTTGTTAGGGCTACCGGTGACCTCAAGAGTGGGCCAGGTGGCCCAAGGCGTATGTTGTGGACTCACGCCAAGTCGAAGCTAGGTGTTTCCTTTCATGTAACACTGCCCGCCTTGGAAGCATATCATAGTGTATAGGTGGAGCATTAGATGGCAGTCGTCCTGTATCACCAGTTCATTGTCATCGTCATGTTGTGTTGCGTCCAAATAAACAGGCTGAAGCACGAGTAAGGAAATGACTCTTCCCATTTCGTTGATGTGGTTGGCTGCAAACTTTTGGTGGTATGATAGGACTATGAGAACTGTGTTAATCTAGTACTTCCAGGTAGGGAACTCTTTTTGTCGCCAAGAGGTTGGCTTGGGGGGAACTTTCATATATGAATGAGGTATAATCAGTGACCTTTAGACACTGGTTAGAAAGCGATATATACCCTACATATTGCTACGCGACAATGATATCGCTCAATGCCATTGTATCAGCCCATCCAGCATCATCTCTCTTGGTCTGCTTCGACACCTCTTTCCCCTGATCTTTCCACTTGTTACGATGTTCTCCAATGTCTCTCTTCTCATTATGTGGCCAAAGAACAATGTTTGTCTTTTTCTTATTGTTTTATATAGAGATCTACTTTCATTAGCTTCTTTCAAACAATCGTTGTTAGTTACTCTGGCCATCCAAGGTATTCGTAACATTCGTCACAGAAACCACATCTCTGTTGCTTCCAAATTCTTCTTAATTTGTTAACTGATATTCCAATATTCACTGCCATACAACAGAACAGGTTCTATGTAACATTTTAGCATTCTCTTTCTGACATAAATGAGAGCGACTTATTGTATAAGATATTTTTCCTTTTCTCAAATGCTGCCTTTGCTTGACCTGTTCTGCTTTTAATCTCTGTCACAACATTTTCTATCTGATGATATGACAGTTCCCAGATATCTGAATTTATTGACTTGGTTAAGCTTTTTTCATTCAACTGAGATATCACAATGTGGAGTTATCTTTTTCTTTGATATAACCATTACTTCCATTTTCTTACAAACTGAGGAAAATTGAGTACTGTGGCCATGTAAAAAGGTGTGAAAGTCTGAAAAATATAATCAGGAGGGAAACGTTTCCAATGAAGTGAATAAGTGGATACTTTGAATCTTTTCTCCAGGCTTCGCCGGCATAGTGGGTAATGAATAGGCAGACAGATTGGCTGGATCTGCACCACTGGGTGGTGAACTGATACATGACAATGCAGATAGATGTGGTCAAGGGCCTGTGGGAACAAGCAACAAAATCGGTAGAGAAACAAAATTATTATTGCCTGGAGAGAATGAGGCACCTGGGTGTAATCAGAGGGTCTGGCCGGCTCACTACACTCAGAGGAAAGACAAGACAGACATATAACCAGATTGTGACCAGTACTATTGGAACTCTGCACTGGCTGCTGAAGATGAGGATGGAGCACACATTGGAATGCTCCAAGTGCTGTGATGTCAATTCTTGACTCAACTCAACTCAACTCAACTGCTGTGCTGAGATTCTCCTTGCATATGATCTATAAGAAAGACTGAGCACTTAAGGAGACATCTGTGTGTACTGAAAGCGAGCATTGACTACTGTAAACCAATCAAGCAGAGCAGTCAGACACAACTTACTGGGAGAGAGCATTTCTGATGTTCGTCTTGGCTCTGAAGTTGAAGATATCAATGACTTCTTTGCCAGCAACCGGTGCAGACATCGGTGGAAGGGCACTGGAGATTTGTGTCAGTGGGTCAGCTAAAACAAACATCAAGGTGACTGTGAGGGCATAATGTGACATCAGCTCACAACTGTGACATCAATAATAAGGGCATAATGTGACATCAGCTTACAGTTGTCACATCATGAGTAAGGGCATAATGTGATATCAGCTCACAGTTGTCACATCATGAGTAAGGGCATAATGTGACATCAGCTTACAGTTGTGACATCATGAGTAAGGGCATAATGTGATATCAGCTCACAGTTGTGACATCATGAGTAATGGCATAATGTGATATCAGCTTACAGTTGTGACATCATGAGTAAGGGCATAATGTGACATCACCTCACAGTTGTGACATCATGAGTATGGGCATAATGTGACATCAGCTTACAGTTGTGACATCATGAGTAAGGGCATAATGTGACATCAGCTTACAGTTGTGACATCATGAGTAAGGGCATAACGTGATATCAGCTCACAGTTGTGACATCATGAGTAAGGGCATAATGTGATATCAGCTTACAGTTGTGACATCATGAGTAAGGGCATAATGTGACATCAGCTCACAGTTGTGACATCATGAGTAAGGGCATAATGTGACATCAGCTTACAGTTGTGACATCATGAGTAAGTGCATAATGTGATATCAGCTCACAGTTGTGACATCATGAGTAAGGGCATAATGTGATATCAGCTTACAACTGTGACATCAACAGTAAGGTCATAATGTGACATCAGCTTACAGTTGTGACATCATGGGTTAGGGCATAGCGTGATATCTGCTTACAGTTGTGACATCATGAGTAAGGGCATAATGAGACATCAGCTCACAGTTGTGACATCAACAGTAAGGGCATAATGTGATATCAGCTCACAACTGTGACATCAACAGTAAGGGCATAATGTGATATTAGCTCACAACTGTGACATCAACAGTAAGGGCATAATGTGATATCAGCTCACAACTGTGACATCAACAGTAAGGGCATAATGTGATATCAGCTCACAACTGTGACATCAACAGTAAGGGCATAATGTGATATCAGCTCACAACTGTGACATCAACAGTAAGGGCATAATGTGATATCAGCTCACAACTGTGACATCAACAATAAGGGCATAATGTGATATCTGATCATAACTGTGACATCAACAGTAAAGGATCTGGCTGTGGCATCAGCTCACAGTTGTGACATCAACAGTAAGGGCATAATGTGATATCAGCTCACAACTGTGACATCAACAGTAAGGGCATAATGTGACATCAGCTCACAGTTGTGACATCAACAGCAAGGGCATAATGTGATATCAGCTCACAACTGTGACATCAACAGTAAGGGCATAATGTGACATCAGCTCACAACTGTGACATCAACAGTAAGGGCATAATGGGACATCAGCTCACAACTGTGACATCAACAGTAAGGGCATAATGTGATATCAGCTCACAACTGTGACATCAACAGTAAGGGCATAATGTGATATCAGCTCACAACTGTGACATCAACAGTAAGGGCATAATGTGACATCAGCTCACAACTGTGACATCATGAGTAAGGGCATAATGTGATATCAGCTCACAGTTGTGACATCAACAGTAAGGGCATAATGTGATATCAGCTCACAGTTGTGACATCAACAGTAAGGGCATAATGTGACATCAGCTTACAGTTGTGACATCATGAGTAAGGGCATAATGTGATATCAGCTCACAGTTGTGACATCATGAGTAAGGGCATAATGTGAAATCAGCTTACAGTTGTGACATCATGAGTAAGGGCATAATGTGACATCAGCTCACAGTTGTGACATCATGAGTAAGGGCATAATGTGACATCAGCTTACAGTTGTGACATCATGAGTAAGGGCATAATGTGACATCAGCTTACAGTTGTGACATCATGAGTAAGGGCATAACGTGATATCAGCTCACAGTTGTGACATCATGAGTAAGGGCATAATGTGATATCAGCTTACAGTTGTGACATCATGAGTAAGGGCATAATGTGACATCAGCTCACAGTTGTGACATCATGAGTAAGGGCATAATGTGACATCAGCTCACAGTTGTGACATCATGAGTAAGTGCATAATGTGATATCAGCTCACAGTTGTGACATCATGAGTAAGGGCATAATGTGATATCAGCTTACAACTGTGACATCAACAGTAAGGGCATAATGTGACATCAGCTTACAGTTGTGACATCATGGGTTAGGGCATAACGTGATATCAGCTTACAGTTGTGACATCATGAGTAAGGGCATAATGTGACATCAGCTCACAGTTGTGACATCAACAGTAAGGGCATAATGTGATATCAGCTCACAACTGTGACATCAACAGTAAGGGCATAATGTGATATTAGCTCACAACTGTGACATCAACAGTAAGGGCATAATGTGATATCAGCTCACAACTGTGACATCAACAATAAGGGCATAATGTGATATCTGATCATAACTGTGACATCAACAGTAAAGGCACTTGCTGTGGCATCAGCTCACAGTTGTGACATCAACAGTAAGGGCATAATGTGACATCAGCTCACAACTGTGACATCAACAGTAAGGGCATAATGTGATATCAGCTCACAACTGTGACATCATGAGTAAGGGCATAATGTGATATCAGCTCACAACTGTGACATCATGAGTAAGGGCATAATGTGACATCAGCTCACAACTGTGACATCATGAGTAAGGGCATAATGTGATATCAGCTCACAGTTGTGACATCAACAGTAAGGGCATAATGTGATATCAGCTCACAACTGTGACATCAACAGTAAGGGCATAATGTGACATCAGCTCACAACTGTGACATCAACAGTAAGGGCATAATGTGACATCAGCTCACAACTGTGACATCAACAGTAAGGGCATAATGTGATATCAGCTCACAACTTTAACATCAATTGTAAACAATCAGTGTCCTATATTTTATAGGGCAATCCGCATTCCATAGGTGATGTGGTCAACATCATGCCAGCCGCCTTTGCTTCCCAGGACTTGACCTGGTACTCATTTGAAGCTGGATCAACCTGAGAAATTAAAACTAGTACCAAAGACAAATGTTGGCTAGAGTAGAAGTCCTCATGCAATGAAGTCGATTCTCTTGCCATTCAATCAATCAATTGATTAATCAACAAATCAATCAATCAATCAACAAATTAATCAATCAATCAATCAATCAACAAATTAATAAATCAACTGATCAATCAATCAACAAATCAATCAATCAGGTAAGTCTCTACAATCAGGACTGACTGACATGGATCCCTAACATGTTCTGTTTGTTGATATTTAAGAGTATTATGTTTTTTATTGAAGGTGAAATATTTTACTATTTTATTTTCTTTCATAGTCTATTCAGAAAATCTGTTTTAGACTGGATAAGTTTTCATGAAATATGACATATTGACATATCCGCCTGCATATCCACATTTCCTAAGTCTCAATATGATTTTATATTCGCTTATACATTGTCCAAGTTTCGCACTATACAGAAGGTCTTTGTTTTCCTTAAAACTGATTGAAGCAGTCATGAAGACAAATAAACAGTTGTAATGAAGACAAATAAACAGTTGTTATGAAGACAAATAAACAGTTGTTATGAAGACAAATAAACAGTTGTAATGAAGACAAACAAACAGTTGTCATGAAGACAAATAAACAGTTGTTATGAAGACAAATAAACAGTTGTCATGAAGACAAATAAACAGTTGTAATGAAGACAAACAAACAGTTGTCATGAAGACAAATAAACAGTTGTTATGAAGACAAATAAACAGTTGTCATAAAGACAAATAAACAGTTGTTATGAATACAAATAAACAGTTGTCATAAAGACAAATAAACAGTTGTTATGAAGACAAATAAACAGTTGTTATGAAGACAAATAAATAGTTGTCATGAAGACAAATAAACAGTTGTAATGACCTACAGTGGCTGGAGGCAGCTCTGTCCGGGAGCTGATGCTGTGATTTCTGGCCAGCCATGTTTCTGGCATCTGGCTGTGGCATCTACAGGCAGGCAAATATAACAATTGTTATCAAACAGCCAACCTGGCAGATTCATGGATGCTTTTTTTAACAAAATATAATTACTTGAATGCACTTCCTGGCTGGAATGGACAGATGACTAGCTACGAGGACAGGGTCCTCAAATCAATCACTGCTTAAAGCTTAACTCTTTGAGTCCCAGGGGGTTTAGCATCAGAGCCCCAAGGGGTAGTCAAAAGAGATGTAAAATCGGTGCATCTTGCGTTCACTGGGCCTGTAGGCGGGAACCTATGAACGTATGATGCGTCCCTTGGGACTCAAAGAGTTAAAGGAAAACTAATAGCCAGAACATATTTGTTGTTGCTCTTCATCTTCTGTCTTCTTCCTCCTCTTCCACTTCTCCTTCTTCTTCAGAGGTTTTACTTTATCTCCACATCTATTATAAAATTATTTCCATATCTATATATCTATGAATAACATTATGTCCACATCTATATATAACATTATTTCCATCTCTATGTATAACATTATTTCCACACTCTATATAATATAATTTATATATATATATATATATATATATATATATATATATATATATATATATATATATATATATATATATATATGAGTTCTTCCATTTTTTCAAAATGGCAGATAGCAAAGGTGTTAATTTTGCTGGCTGTTAATTCTCTCGGGTTGTTCTGTTTCCTAATCATAGACTGCTATTTTGTGCGCATTTCCAACGCAGGATACCATGTGTTTTCCGTGGGAGCAGCGTATATTGTGGTTGTGCTATGTCGGGGCGGGATAATGACTGATAGGTTTGGCAGCCTCGACCACGCTGCCTTCGCAATGTTTTGATCGCGGCGGTCTACTCGGGGAGACAGAGTCTCATTAGCAGGGGACTGCAACTGTCTAGAGAGCACACTCGATAAAAGCTGTCCCCAGAAACGGAGTGTGTCAACTATATATTTGGTGGGGAGGAATCAACACATACAGATAACTCCTTGTGTCAGTTTTCCTATGTGTTTATATATACCTGCTTAAGAACCGTATAGTTAACGCTAATGGCTGTGTTCATGCCTGCACATACGCCAATGATATCAGGATGTGAATGTATTAAATATTAATAATATTGGGGGGCAGGGGGTTGTTCATTCAAACGAAACAGTTTTTTAAAGCCAAGCTGACATCAAATGTTCCATAAAACCTCAGTGATAGAGGTCACGGGGTCATGGGGTCAGCCATCTAATATATTTTCTTTTAAAGACATTTATTCCATTTATTGCTTCATCCTTTTCATGTTTATTGATAACCTGTAATCTGTGTAAAAATTGTTTTTAACATTTTTTTCAAGAATTTCCATGGGGTAAAGACCAATTTGTTTAAGCGTTCCTGGGGTTAAAGGGCTAATCTAACTTCTGCTACTTGCTTAAAAGACTATGTACCTTGTCTCATTTGTGATGAAGTATCTTCTTACCTGATAACTCTTAGCTTTCACATTTATCTTGTACTTCCAGTCTGCATTATTGACCTGTTCCACTGCGGCTTCCTGTCTCTTGCTAGCTTCTTTCTTGCCTTCTTGGCACTTCTGTAATGCCGACACCAGACTTTGTTCTTTTTCTCGGAACAGAAACTCATGATATTTCATATTGTTTACAGCTTTATCTCTTTCTTGGCAAGCCTGCAAGAGATTTAAGACTAGTTGGTGACCTTGCTACATTTAGGACTGTACACATACATTCATGCTCATGCATACATGTACAGAAACATTCGTACACTAACAACTACATACACATGCACAATAACGTTGCATACACACACACACATACACACACACACATATACATAAACACTAGCAGTCAGACACAGCTGTTAAAATCCTTCTAGCTTTACAGTAAACATTACAATAACTTTTGCCACCAAAAATGTGACAGAAAAGCTTACTTTGTTCCTGGCGTCCAACTCTGCTTGCAGACACTCCTTCAGTCTGTTCATTTCCACTCTGTCCCTGTTATCATAATCTTCCCTTTCTCGCTCCCATTCTTCTCGTACACTCTGTATTCGCTTCTTCATTTCTCCTTGCATTTCATTTCTCATTTCCCACAGTTGATTCTCTTTTAATTTCTCCATCTTCATTTCCATCTTTATCTTTGCCTCTAGTAGGCTTCTCTCCATGTCTGAATGAAGTGTTTTGATAATTCTTTCTTTCTCCATTAGAAATGAATGCCTCTCCTTCTCCTGCCATGCTATCTTTTCCTGCTCAAGTTGTGATTTCATGGCCTCAATCCTTGCATTCAGTTCAACAACAAATTTCTTTTTCAAATGTTCTAATTCTAGCTGAATTATTTTCCTCAACTCTTCTTTCTTCTCTCTCTCAAATATTTCTTTGTTCTTCTCCCATTCTTTTATAGTCTCCTGCTTCTGTTTTATCTTTTCTTCTTCTTCATTTATTTTCTCCAGTTTTTCTCTCATATTCTCTTCATCTTCTGTTATTTTCTCCAGCTTACCTCTCACCTTCTCTTCCTCTTTCTTTACCTTCTCCAGGTTTTCTCTCATTTTCTCTGTCTCTTCCTGTATCTTCTCCCACTTTTCAGTAATCTTCCTCTCTTCTTCCTTTATCTTCTCCTGTTTTACTCTTATCTCTCTTTTTTCTTCATGTATTGTTTCCAATTGTTGTCTTACTTTCTCTTCTTCTTCCTTTATCTTCTCTAGTTGTTCTCTTACTTTCCCTTCTTCTTTTTTGATCTCTTCCTCAACTCCTTGTATGATCTCTTTGTTGATGTACTCTTGTGCTTCCAGAAACCACTTTGATCTCAGTTCCTTGATCTGATCTGTCAAACTTTGTTTATTTGAGAGTTTACTCTTCATCTGTTCAATCTCTTTCTTCAACGCTTCCACAAGCAGTTTATCAGATTGATTCTCTTTCTTTAATGACTCTATCAGCTCCTGTGCTTCATGTGCATCACATTTGTGTGAACTCTTCTCTAAAGATGCCACAGTAGTCTGATGATCCAACTTCAAATCTTCGGCGAGTTTCTTTAATTTCTCCTTCTCACTGACTGCCAGGTCCAGTTGTTGTTTGTACTCAGAAAGTTCATCATTCTTGTTTGATAGTTTTGATTCATAGCCATTTCTTTCTTTCACCCACTGTTGAACATCTGAAACAAACAAATGAAAACAGGCTGATAACAACAGTGGATATAGAAACAATTAAGTGAAAGTAAGCTGTCAGTCTGAGATTGGAAATAAAATGAGTAGACACAGTTTTGAGGTAAACAGTTTAGAAAATAACAACAACAACAACAAACAACCATCCCCATGATGCTCTTAATGAGAACCTGTGTGCAAGTTAAAAATATTTTGGTAGTTAGAAACTAAAAAGCTGCAAGCATGCCTGTATGTAAACTTTCAGTGTTAGAAAGTCAACCAATAAAAACATATATTGATATCTTATGTGATTCTGGTATAGGAGACCTGGTCACCTGCAGCAGAAAAGGACAATCCACATTCTTTGGGCACATCTTAAAAGGGTGAAACTTGGGGCAAGTCATGACAACAGGAGAATTGGAGGGGAGGTGAGGCAGGGGGAGCCCAGGAAAGAGGATGGCATGGAGAAAACATCTGTATCAGAAATGACTAACAGAACACACGATGGAAGGGTGTGGGCAGAGAGGAGGACAAACAGCACACAGTGAGAGTTGGCTGTCGCAACAACCAGATTCTGCTATTTGCACACCTGGATCCCCACTATTGCTACAAAGTTTGTGCGCTGTAGTCAAATGCTCGTTGTGTGATCTATGGAAACATACTGGGATATTATGGAGGTATTTGTGCATGCTGAAAGTAAAGAAGAAGAACAATAATGAGAAGAACAAGAACAATAATAATAGAACAATTTAAAATGTTTATTGAAAATATAATCATAAATAAGAGACAACTTAACATTGTAGATACAAGTTTATAAGAATGAACAGGAGAAAATACAGAGAAATCCCTGAAAAAGAGAAAAGACTAACGAATAGTAATCAATTAAATATAAAATATAAGGCTTGAGGTTGAAGGATTCACCTCTCTCATGCTCCGTCTGCCACAGCTTCCTGGCATCTGCCAGGGTCTCTTCTACCATAGTCTGTCTGATCAATCGTTGGTCTTCTATACATGCCAGCTTGGCTTCTGTAACCTGAAACAATAAAACACTACTAAGCCGCAACATTATTTTATGTTTAGCTGGTTTTGTTCTAGAATACAAATCTTTCAATGGTTCAGAGCTATTTGTTCAGTTTCTGTTTCCTAAACTTCTCTGCGCTGGCTAGCTACAATAATAATTCCCCAGACTGCACCACAGTAGAAATATTTCCAAAATGACCTTGGGAAAGGGCAAATCTGTTTTAATATTTTGAAGCTGAGCATTTTTTAGCATAATTTAAAAAAAAAATTTAAAACTAACATTCAGTAGATAAAATATTGTAAAACATTTGAGGTACAACAATTTCCATCCAGTGTCTATAAATTTAATATATACAATTTCATGGTTTACAAATAATAACGCACAATAGTATAAATAAATGTTAACTATATGTTCGATCTGCATGTTCAATAAATGTTAACTATATGTTCGATCTGCATGTTCAATAAATGTTAACTATATGTTCGATCTGCATGTTCAATAAATGTTAACAATATGTTCGATCTGCATGTTCAATAAATGTTAACTATATGTTCGATCTGCATGTTCAATAAATGTTAACTATATGTTCGATCTGCATGTTCAATAAATGTTAACTATATGTGTCATCAATTTTTCTGGCTCTATAAATAACTCTTGACCTCAGACATAATTATATATAGATCATTTAATTCAAAGTTACAAGCATTGCAACACCTCAAGAAAGTTGTTTAACTAACATTTAAATGGAAACAAATTGCAACTAATTAATGTATTCCACTCATCCACTCCACTACATCTTCATTTCTGTTCATTATTTATATCCAAAGTACATTCATTTCTGTTCATTATTTATATCCAAAGTACATTCATTTCTGTTCATTATTTATATCCAAAGTACATTCATTTCTGTTCATTTTTTATATCCAAAGTTCCTTCATCTCTGCTCATTATTTCTATCACACATACCTTCATTTCTGTTCATTATTTCTTTCCAATATACCTTTATTTCTGTTCATTATATCTACTCAACATAACTTCATTTCTAATAATTATTTCTATCCAACGTACCTTCATCTCTGCTCATTACTTCTATCCATCCAGGATACCTTCATTTTAAGATACCTTCATTTCTGTTCTTTATTTATATCCAAGTTCATTTTTGTTCTTTATTTATATCAAGATACTTCATTTCTGTTCTTTATTTATATCCAAGATACCTTCATTTCTGTTCTTTATTTATATCCAAGATACCTTCATTTATGTTCTTTATTTATATCCAAGATACCTTCATTTCTGTTCTTTATTTATATCTAAGATACCTTCATTTCTGTTCTTTTTCTATTTCTTTATTTATCTAATCTTAAGATTTACATTCATTTCTGTTCTTTATTTATATCTAAGATACCTTCATTTCTGTTCTTTATTTATATCCAAGATACCTTCATTTCTGTTCTTTATTTATATCTAAGGTACCTTCATTTCTGTTCTTTATTTATATCTAAGATACATTCATTTCTGTTCTTTATTTATATCCAAGATACCTTCATTTCTGTTCTTTAATTATATCTAAGATACCTTCATTTCTGTTCTTTATTTATATCTAAGATACATTCATTTCTATTCTTTATTTATATCTAAGGTACCTTCATTTCTGTTCTTTATTTATATCCAAGATACCTTCATTTCTGTTCTTTATTTATATCCAGGATACCTTCATTTCTGTTCTTTATTTATATCTAAGATACATTCATTTCTGTTCTTTATTTATATCCAAGATACATTCATTTCTGTTCTTTATTTATATCCAGGATACCTTCATTTCTGTTCTTTATTTATATCTAAGATACCTTCATTTCTGTTCTCTATTTATATCCAAGATACCTTCATTTCTGTTCTTTGTTTATATCTAAGATACCTTCATTTCTGTACTTTATTTATATCTAAGATACCTTCATTTCTGTTCTTTATTTATATCCAAGATACCCTCATTTCTGTTCTTTATTTATATCCAAGATACCTTCATTTCTGTTCTTTATTTATATCCAAGATACCTTCATTTCTGTTCTTTATTTATATCTAAGATACACTCATTTCTGTTCTTTATTTATATCTAAGATACATTCATTTCTGTTCTTTATTTATATCCAGGATACCTTCATTTCTGTTCTTTATTTATATCTAAGATACCTTCATTTCTGTTCTTTATTTATATCCAAGATACCTTCATTTCTATTCTTTATTTATATCTAAGATACATTCATTTTTGTTCTTTATTTATATCCAAGATACCTTCATTTCTGTTCTTTATTTATATCCAAGATACCTTCATTTCTGTTCTTTATTTATATCTAAGATACATTCATTTTTCTTCTTTTTTTAAATCCAAGATAACTTCATTTCTGTTCTTTATTTATATCCAAGATACATTCATTTCTGTTCTTTATTTATATCCAAGATACCTTCATTTCTGTTCTTTATTTATATCCAAGATACCTTCATTTCTGTTCTTTATTTATATCCAAGATACCTTCATTTTTGTTCTTTATTTATATCTAAGATACCTTTATTTCTGTTCTTTATTTATATCTAAGATACCTTCATTTCTGTTCTTTATTTATATCTAAGATACCTTCATTTCTGTTCTTTATTTATATCTAAGATACCTTCATTTCTGTTCTTTATTTATATCTAAGATACCTTCATTTCTGTTCTTTATTTATCTAAGATACCTTCATTTCTGTTCTTTATTTATATCTAAGATACCTTCATTTCTGTTCTTTATTTATATCCAAGATACCTTCATTTCTGTTCTTTATTTATATCTAAGATACCTTCATTTCTGTTCTTTATTTAAATCCAAGATACCTTCATTTCTGTTCTTTATTTATATGCAAGATACCTTGATTTCTGTTCTTTATTTATATCTAAGATACCTTCATTTCTGTTCTTTATTTATATCTAAGATACCTTCATTTCTGTTCTTTATTTATATCTAAGATACCTTCAT